AAAAAAAAAAAAAAAAAGCCTAGTCTTCTTGTCATAGTTTCTGTTTTTGGCTTTATATTCTACATCTCAGTGTCATGTTGACAGGTGAATTGATAATTGGTCATATTAGAAAGAAATCCCTTACCATAGTTTAGGCTTATGTTGCTCTGTCTTTTACCTGAATCTTGGGCCCATCTTTTTCTTTCTTTTCCATGCTTGCCTTCAGCCACCTTGTTGTTCTTGCTGTTACTGAATATAGAAAGCTCATTTTTATCTCCAACATGTTGGTTGCTTTTTCTTTTTGCCTAGAATGTTTTTTTCCCAGATTCTCTTAATAATTTGTTTTCTCATTTCATTCAGTTCTCCAATAAGATGTTAACTCAGTTCTTCTGATCACACCATCTAAAATAGCCCTCTGTACCCTTCTTCCCCTACCCACTGCTTTACTTTAATTCATGGCACTTCTCAACCAGACCTTATATTTTAATACTAATTATTTGTTTATTTCTTTTTTGGGGTTTTTTTTTTTGAGTTGGAGTCTCACTCCGTCGCCCAGACTGATGTGCAGTGGCTGCTCCTGGCCACCGCAGCCTCGACCTGCTGGGCTCAGGCAATCCTTCCGCCTCAGCCTTCCAAGTAGCTGGAACTGCAGGTGCACGCTACCACGCCCGGCTAATTTTTTTTTTATTTATTGTAGAGATGAGGTCTCACCAAGTTGCCCAGGCGGGTCTCAAACCCCTGGGCTCAGGCAATCCACTCACCTCAGCCTCCCAAAGGCGTGGGCTGAATCTTCACAGTTTGTTCTGTCGTCCAAGGTCTACAAGGTTACTTGAGGTTTAATAAGTAAATGAATCATTCATTCCTTTTATTATTATATTGTGTCCCCTTTTTAACCTTATTTAAAACCTTTCCTTTAACAAATTTGCCATATAGGACTTTTTACTTTCTGACGATTAGCCTAGGCCTGGTATATCATTTTTTCCAGTCCTTTATTTGCAGCCTTTCTTTGTCATTATGTTGTAGGTTTGTTTGCAACTAGCATTTAGCTGAAGTTTTCATTTCTAAAATTTTGCTCCCCCTGTTTATTCTTTGTACAGTTCTTTTTGTCTCTTTATTTTTATTCCTTCTGTTATGTCTTTGGTCATTTATTTTTTTTCTGTTTCTAAGTCTTAGTTACACATTTTTCCTATGACTGTATTTGCTGATCCTCTTAGAGATAATAGTTCATTTCTCTGCATGTTTTGTGATCTCAGTGGTGGCTGGTTGGTGTGGGAGTCCCACTGCCTTGTTTTTTTAGTAACGTCTTTACGTGGTGGTTTCAGATGACTGCTGAGTTCCACTGGGTTCATCAGCGCTGACAAGTGTTCATTTGAGGATATCCTTGAGAATAGTATGAGTGCAGATCCAGGCCTATGGTTTCTCTTAAACCTGTAGAGTTCCCAATGTTGGTTTTGAGCATAGCTTTATTATTCTTTTTACCTTTTAAATTGACAGATAAACATGTATGTATTTACTATCTACAACATGGTGTTTTGAAGAAAATATGCGCTGTGGAATGACTAAATCTATCTAATTAACATGTGTATTACCTCACATAATTATTTTTGTTGTGAGAATACTTTCTATCCACTCTCTACAACATGACCTTTTTATTGATACATAATATTTGTACATATTTGTGGGGTACGGTGATATTTTGATACATGCATATAATGTGTAATGATCAAATCAGGATATTTAGAATATCTAATACCTTGAACATTTATCATTTCTTTGTTTTGGGAACATTTCAGATCTTATTTTCTAGCTAATTTAAAATATACAATATATTGTTAACTATAGTCACCCTACTGTACTGTCAAACACTTGAACTTATTTTTTCTATTTAACTGTATGTTTGTACCCATTAACCAACCTCTCTTCGTGCCCCATGCCCCCACCACACTGTGTTCCCAGCCTCTGTTAACTATTCGCTACCTCCATTAGATCAATTTTTTTTTTTAGCTCCTACATAATAAGTGAGAATAGAGCATGGCTTTTTATCCACAAGTACTTTTAACTCTATTTTATCAAGTATTTCTGTGTTGTGGAGGTTGCAAAGATTTTATGTTAGCTTGGCTTATTATATTGAACTAAAGTGTTCAGAAGAACCCTGTAGGGGCCATGGGAAAACTTCCCCTTTGCCCTCTGAAAATCAGCGGTCAAAAATCAGATTAATAGGAGAAATGGCATACAAATTTATTAATGTATACAGAGGAGAATTGTTATTGAACTGACCTGGTGTCAGCTCGCCTGGTGCAGTAAGACCAGATATCCATACCAAGTTTCAGTGGGAGAAAGGAAGATGTTTATTTGCAAGGAGCCAAGCAAGAAGAACTGGGCAGCTAGGATCCCACCTCTTGACTTCCCCAATGGTTTGCAAGTAAGAGTTTTAAAGGTTAGGGTCAATTTCGGCAAGGCAGAAGTTAACAGACAAAATCGTAAATCAATACATGTAGATTACACATTGATTTGGCTTAAAAGGGCAGGATATCTTGAAGGGGATTCACCATACAGGTCATAGGTAGAGTCAAAGATTTTTGGTTTGCAATTGATTAAGAAACAGAAGCTTTGTTTAAAACTTTGGGATCAACAGAGTAGAGTGTTAGTTCTGGCTCCTGGTTGTGACTTCCTCCAGACCCCTTAGGAAGAACTTTAGAACTAAGAGCTATGGCCAGAGTTTAGTCCTCAGTTCCTCTTATCTGGGGTCTACCTTCTAGGGGATCCATTTGGTGGGAGTCTGGGTTTCTGAAAAACAACTCAGGGACATATGCTAATGTTACCCTTAATTTCTATAGGGGAACCAAACATCCCCTGGTTCTAACTATTTGGCTATTGTTTAAAGCCACTATTATCTTATTGCTTATCAAGTTGCTTATGTACTTCTCAGGGCTTGCCAGGCATGGAATTTCCCTTGAAGGAATTCAAGATTTTCCTTCATTTTCATGCCTGGGGGGACCTGCAAGACCCTGAGAGGGGTCCCTGATTCATCTCAAGATCACCAAGTGATTACCCAAATATTCCAGTGGGGGCTGATACTTATATAACTTTTATATAAGGAGAGGGAGGAGATGGGGAATATAGGTAATTCTGTTGAGGGCAATACATCGTTACTAGGAAGAATGAATTGAGCAGGGAACAGAGATTAACTTGTAAATGGTTCTCTTTGGAAATTGAATGAGCCTGAGTGACACTTGGGAAAGGGGCCCTTTTGGTGAGGTTCCATTCCTGTCTTCTTTTCTGTAGTAGATTGATAGATAACAGGAAAGGGGAAGGGAAAAAATTGTTTCCCTTGGAGTCTGGTTCTTATGTAGTTAGCGGAAACATCTCTTCTAGTGTCTATTGAGCTCTAAGGGCCTTTAATTCAAAATACTCATTATACCAGGAAACCTTATTTTGGGGTAAAGTTCCCTGGGCAGCTTCAGCCAGGGAGGCAGACAGGATTGTTTCTTGTATCTCTTTTCTCCTGTGACAGTTGGGTATTTTAAAATAATATGTGCTCATGTGATTTAGAAAGAAGGATTTTAGCTCGGATTGTCATCTTCTGGACAGTTATAGTAAATTCTTGGTTCCATCTTTCTCAGTATCATCTTCCACCTCTCGCTAGATAATCTCCCTAGTTCCTGCAGTAAAACTATACTACTTCTAATTTCTGCACATACTATCTGTGCTTTCTTACATGCTTTTCTGTGTTTGCTTGTGGCTTTTTTTAAACCATTTTTTAGAATTCTCATCTTTTTCTTTTTTAAAAAATTATTTGTATTTTAAAGATGTGGGGTACTATTCAGGGTTAATTACATAAGTGGTCATTGAAAGATGGTGGCGCACAGTGAGACTCAACACCCGTTAAGGCCAAGAGATTTAATGGATCCAACGCAGTGGCTACAGGACCTGAGGGTCAGGTTGTAGTCCCGAGGCAAGGGCGCGAAGGCTTTTATAGGGGCTTAGGGCGACCTGTCTGTCGTCTATAGGTCAGCTGGCAGAGCTCCATCCAGGTTGGTGGGTTTTTCCCAGGTGCGGGAAAAGGTGAGCCGGACTGTGGAGGAAGAACCCGGAAGGTGCTGTTTCAGACGCCCCCTTTGTTTGCCGGGTCGCCATTTTAGGCAGGGGGGGGGGGGCGGGATTAGGCCCCTTTTCAGGAAAGGGAGGGGATGTGGTTCTACTTGTGGCTAGTGGTGGCCCTTCAGTCATTGTACAAATAAAGTCTGGGTACCCTTATGAATGTTTTGTGCCCCCTCCACCCCACAGTGTCCCACTACTGCCAATCCCTTTCTTATAGTATTATAAGATAATACTATGATAAGTCACATGAATTCCTCTGTAACTTTGTCCAGTTTTTAACCTCTTTTTTAAAACTTACCTACTCATTGTGTATCTTCCATTCATATGGGATCTTCTGGTAAAGTGCTTTAAATGTTTCACTTTTTCTCATTACAAATTAACACCAGCTTATTGTACATAATTCAGACAATAGAAAAGTAAAAAACCTCTTATTCTGTTTTGGTCCCACTCTTTAGCTCACAAGAAGAAATAAAAAAGTCCTTATCTTGTAGAACCAACTTGTGTGTATCTATAAGATTTTAACCACATATATAGGTCTTCATTTTGTTTTCTTATATATATGGATATGTCTACATATCTATGTATATTCATGTGTGTATAAAATATATAATACTTCAGATTGCCTTTTTTTAAAGATTTTTTTAAAGAGGAGTTTTAGGTTCACAAGAAAATTGAGAGGAAGATACAGAAATTTTTCATGTATTTCCTGCCCCAACACATGCATAGTTGTCTCTATGATCAATGTCAGTTGTTACAGTTGATGAACCTATATTTATTCTGTTCCATTGATCTATTTGTCTCTTCTTTCACCAGTACCACATTTTTTAATTGAGTGTTTTTTTTTCTTATTTGTATGTGTTCTTCTTTTGTGGTTATGAACCCCTTCTATGCTAAATGCTAAACTTAGATCTTCTAGTCTTCTTTGATTTCGTGAGCACTTATTAGGCAGTGAAATCTTCTTTACACGGCTATCTTCAGGTCCAGACTGGAAGTTCTAAAGTATTCTCAAACTTTCGACTTCAACATCTAGCACCATGTCTGGTATAGATTAAGTATTGTATAAGTGGTTTACAATAAATATAGTATAAGACCTGACCCTTGTCTTCAAAGAATTAAAAAGTATAGTATCACATGAACTAGTCAAAAATTTAACATTAAGGAAGGAACAAAAAAGCATAGTATCTAAATTGCATCTTAAATTATGTGTTGTAGGAAAACTTACCTATTGTGAAGCTTTCCTAAATTAGTTCTTTCTCTAAACATGCTACTGCTCGTTTTTTTCATCAACTTCTATACTAAAAGTAAATTATTTTCTATTAGCTTAAAAATGAAATCTGTATAAGCCATAATGGAAATATATTATTCTGCCTTTTTTTGAGACAACTTGCTGAGTTTAGTTCAAATAGTCATGTATTTTGTATTATACTCAATTTCAATTTTAGCTTGAATACTAATTTTGTTTTTCTTGCCATTTCAGGAAAGACCATGAAATATGGCATTTCTTAAATGAAGCATTCAGGAATGAAGTGAGAGAATGTCATATAGAAAATAAATGATTTTTAAGTTATGTCTATTAATCTGACTGTAGATATATATATTTACCTCTTTAGTAATGCACGAAATCTTTGTGGGAAGCAGAGAAGCAAGCAACTGCATTTCTTGTTCTCACCCAAGCATTGCTGGAGGATAAGTCACATCAGTCTACAAAGAGGTTTTCATACAAGCAAAATAAAATGTAAATGGACCAAAAGTGAAGCACACTCTTGCAGTAAGCACTGTTACTCTCTAAGCAACTATGGTTTACATATTGGAATTTTGAAACTTAGCACTTCTGCTCCCAAGGGACTTACAAAAGTGAGCATTCATATGTCCCGTATTAAAAGTTCTTTGAATTCTGTTTCAAAGGCTGTTTTGGGCCATCAGAATGAAATGATATCACGTCTAGCTCAATTTAAGCCAAGTTTTCGTATATTAAGAAAAATATCAGATAGTGGTTGGTTAAAACAGAAAAACATTAAACAAGCCATCAAATCTCTGAAAAAATTTAGTGACAAATCAGAAAAGAATCCTTTACCAGACAAGAAAAGTCCCATTCTAGAAAAAGAAGACATAGGTAAACAAAGTCTTTTTCATTACACGAATACTATAACCACAAAGTTTGGAGAATCATTCCACTTTTTATCAAATCATATTAATTCATATTTCAAACGTGAGGAAAAAATGTCTCAACAAAAGGAAAATAAACATTTCCAGGACAAATCAGAACTTGAAGGTGAAAAAGTTGAAGAAGGGAAATCAATTTCTTCAGATCCTGGTATCCTCCCTGATAAACCAGGCTCAGACTCTTCTCCAGATACTGTGGACAAGCCTGCAAGTCCCACTGGGTTACCTGAGGTTCTTCCAGTTTCAACAAAACAAAGTATTGCTAACTTTCTTTCTCGTCCCACGGAAGGCGTGCAAGCTTTAGTAGGTGGTTATATTGGTGGACTAGTCCCCAAATTAAAATATGATTCAAAGAGTCAGGTAGAAGAACAAGAAGACCCTGCTAAAACTGAACAGGCCGTCAGCAAAGACAAAAATGCAGAGGAGAAAAAGCGTTTATCTCTTCAACGAGAAAAGGCAAGTTCTTATTCAGTGTGGTTTTAAATTGTGTTAATTTTTGTCAAATGTATAGGTATTATTTCTAATGGGACCTAAGAAACATTAACTGCTCTTTAGAGTAGTTTTGTGTTCTGATCATATATATTTAAAATGTCTTTGTAGATTATTGCAAGAGTGAGTATTGATAACAGGACCCGGGCATTAGTTCAGGCATTAAGAAGAACAACTGACCCAAAGCTCTGCATTACGAGGGTTGAAGAACTGACTTTTCATCTTCTAGAGTACCCTGAAGGAAAAGGAGTGGCTGTCAAGGTAATTGCCAATTTGTTCAATCTGGTTTTGTCTTAGAATAAAAATATGAATTAACTTTCTAAAATGGAGAAATCAAAGCCTTTGTTTTTTGGGGTTTTTTTGAGTCGGAGTCTCACTCTGTCACCCAGCCACCTCAGCCTCAACCTGCTGGGCTCAGGCAATCCTTCCACCTCAGCCTTCCAAGTAGCTGGAGCCACTGGCGCACTCCACCACACCCAGCTAATTTTTTTATTTATTGTAGAGATGAAGTCTCACCTTGTTGCCTAAGCTGGTCTTGAACCCCTGTGCTCAGGCAATCCTCTTGCCTTGGCCTCCCAAAGTGCTGGGATTACAGGCTTGAATCCCTGCACCTGGCTGAGCCTTTGTTTTTTAATTTGAATTTTTTGTAGTTTTTGTTATACATGTGATATATTGTATATTCAATAATTGTTTTATTACATATTATGCTGATCAGTCTATTTTATTCTTTTATATATATTATGCTATTAGTATTAATATTTGTATACTTTCATATTAAATAATTATAGAATCGAAGATGAATATCAGTATATTAGTTGTATTTCCTAACACCTGCCAGCCATGTTTTTTAAAATTGCAGTGTTGGCATTTATACTATGTGACTACTACAATTGCTAGTTTTTATTTCTTGGCCCCCTCATGTTTGAAAGTCAAAATTTTAATGACTTTATTGATAATTAAATTGGAAATTATCTTAAGAAAAATAATTAGCTTTGTTCTGCCTTAGTTTTTCCAGTGATAAAATAGTGAAGATAATTTAGATTCATTTAAGTAGATTGTTTTCAGAGAAATGATATTAAGTATGAGTAATGCGATTTAGTCTATATCTATACTATTAAGATACTAATATTTAATGAATGACTGAAAACATCACAGTGATAGGTATTGTTAGAATTTCATTAGAAATCAATTAGTGCTTATTTTTAGCTTGCCATTCAGCAAATGATAAGTTCTTAGTGTACATTTAATCTACTTTCTGATAATCACCTTGCTGAGAAATTATTTGTCTTTAAATAATGTACCTGTCTTAGTTTGATATTGTATAACACATACATTATGGTAGATAAGCATTAGTATTTTATGTTCCTAAAATTTGGGGTTATCTTTTTTATTTATGTACACTCTTACCTATAAGAAAATTTCTAAATGTAAATATGCTTTTTAAGAATATTTCACATTTCACCGGTCTACTGAAAGCAAAGATCTAAAGTAGAATCGGTCCATTCAGGCTACAATAACAAAACATCTTAGACTGGGTAATATAAAGACAGCAGAAGTTTATTTCTCACAGTTCTGGAGGCTAGAAAGTCCAAGGTCGGGCCACCAGCAGATTTGATATCTAATTAGGGTCTTGTACTTATTTATAGATGGCATCTTCTTGCAGCATACTCATATGGCAAAAGGGACAAGGAAGCTCCCTTCAACCTCTTTTACCGGGTGCTAATCCCATTCATGAGGCAGAACCCTCATTATTTAATCACTTCTCAAAAGGTCTCATCTTATTAATATTATTGCACTGGGTACGAAGTTCCAACATATGAATTTTAGAGGGGTCACCAGCATTCAGGCCGTAGCACATATGTTAAAGAACTTTTTAAAAACATTTTATTCAAGTATAATAACTATATGTTTGTAAGCATAAAGTTCAGTGAAGTTCACAACTTGAACATGTAACCAGCACCCAGATGAAGAAACAAAACATTACCATGTGTTCATAATGCATTGTATCTGGATATGCATGATAACTGACTGAATAGCCATTAGTAATGCTAAGATGACCACTGGAGTTAGGTAGTGACAGTCCACTTTTCACCAGACAGTTATGCTAGAAGCATTATCCCATCAACCATCAGCCTAATCATTTCCAGAACTAATCATTTAACTAGGGTTGAAAATCATTAATTTATAATTCTATTACTCTTTCTTTTTTTTTTTTAAGTCGGAGTCTCACTCTGTCGCCCAGACTGGAGTGCAGTGGCTGCTCTGCAGCCTCGACCTGCTGGGCTCCAGTGATCCTTCCGCCTCAGCCTTCCAAGTAGCCAGAATTACAGGCATGCACTACCATGCCCGGCTGATTTTTTGATTTATTGTAGAGATGAGGTCTCGCTGCCCAGGCGGGTCTCAAACCCACGGGCTCAGGCAATCCACTCACCTCAGCCTCCCAAAGGCGTGGGATTACAGGCTGAGCCACCGAGCCCGGCTTCTATTACTCTTTCTACATTATATTGGTATTCTTCTGTATAGTACAGATTTCTTTTACTAGCTAAAGCTATTTGGACATTCTAAAAGGCAAATTTTACAAGAAAGGCAAGAGAAATGCTTACTTTCTATTTAGTTACCAATTTTCAAAGTAAAGTATTGCTTTAATAGCTGCTTCAGTGATGACATGGATTCTTTTTAAAAAATTATTTTTGGATTTACAGCATTTCATAAGTTAGATGAGTTTCTATAATCTTTCTCCCCCTTTCTTTAAAAAAGAAATGCTGACTTTGTCACAACTGTGACTATTAGGAGCCCCTTCCATATGGCTCAAATAGCCTTTTTTAAAACTTTTTATAAAAATATTGTATAGAAAAGTGTACAAATCATACATATACAGCTCTATGATTTTTCACAAATAGAACACATCACCACCACCCTAATGAGGAACAGAATGTTGTCAGCGCTCCAAATGCTATCCCCATGAAGGCTGATCAATTTTTCTGAACTCTAGCAGCGATAAATTAGTTGTGTCTGTTTTTGCATATTATGTAAATAGAATTATACAGCATGTGCTCTTTTGTGCTTCTTAAATTTTTGTTCAACATTATGCTTGTTAGATCTTTTTATACTGTTGGATGTACTTGTAGAGCATCCATTTTTATTGTGGTATGTTCTGTAATATGAATATGCTACAATGTATTTATCATTCTACTGCTAGATGTTTGGATGGTTTCTGGGTTGAAAATATTTAGGAGTAGTGTTTTGGGGATGTACCTTTTGGAAACATATGTCTTCATTTATTTGATGTTATACCTGAGTAGTACTAGGGTGTCACAGAGTGAGCATATTTTTATCTTTAGTAGATAATGCCAAATGGTTTTACATTGTGTTTGTAGCAATTTATACTTTCACCAAAATCATACGAGCCTTCTGGTTATTCTGCTTTCTCTCCAACACTTATCTTTTTAATCTTTTTTAAAAATTTCAGCAATTATGTTGGTTGTTCAGTCACATTACATTATGGTTTCAATTTTTTATTTCTTTGGTAGCTTTGAAGTTCTACATCTCTTCCAGTATTTATTGGCCATTTTTATTTTTCTTTTGTGCCCATTTTTCCACTGGGTGACCAACTTTTTTGTTGTTGTTGTTGATTTGTATGATTTCTTTACAAAGTATGGCTATAAGTTTTTTGTGTGTATGTGAGTGTGTGTCTTGCAAATATGTTTTCCCACTCTGTGGCTTAGCTAGTCGGTCTTTCTTTTTTTGAATGGGGTTCTCACTCAATCACCCAAACTGTAGTACGGTGACCCAATCATGGCTACTGCAGCCTTGAACTCCTGAGCTCAAGTGAGTTTCCCACCTCAGCCTTCTGAGTAGCTAGGACTGCAGGTATACCCAGCTATTTTTTTTTTTTTTTTTTTTTG